TTTCATTATTTAAAATGGCATCCCCAAGAAATAAAAAGATCTTAGTGATTTTAATGTGTCCCCCCCGATCCGAAAAATGGGGTAAATTTATTTAGGGACAGTTTTCCATAATTTTAATACAAGTAATATAAAAAATTTTGAAAAAAATTTAAAAAAAAAACTTGAAAATTTTTGGGAAATTTCCCCAAAAATGGAGAGTCGTGCCAGGGGAATTAAACAAACCCGGGGGGGCTCGGTGACTGAAAATTTTAAAGACGGGGGGGCCATATAGGGGAGGGTTTTTGGGCATAATTTGAAAGCCTTTTTATGGAATGCTGTAAAGTGGGGGCCCCCCCCTGTGAAAGGGGTTGTCTAGTGTACATTTCTGCTAGAAAGGACGTGATTTTTTTCACTTGCATCAGTAAAATCTGGTATTAAATAAAGTTGATCTTTCATTGCAAATTTTTAAAATTTTTTAAAATTTGGGGTATTTTTTTGTGAAGTACGAGCTAGTGTGCTCTGTAAAACGCTTGATATTTTGTTTGCTGTAAAGTAACATTTTTTTTACTTTTTATAATATCTTTATCCCTTTAAAAATTTCCCCCAAAAAAAAAAAAAAAAATTTTTAGAAAGAGGGGAAAAGTTTAGATTTTAAATCGCAATTTTCCCTTTATCGTGACAGGTAAATACCAAAAATAAGGCCCGAGTCGAAATTTATCTTTCAGGGATAACTTGGGCTTTCCCCCCCTGGAGTCTGCTATTTGAGTCTTCTGCTCCCTCAGTTTTAAAACCGTTTTTGATTTTTTTTGCTTGAACTTAAAAATTGTTTGCACTGCATAAAAGCCCGGGGATTTAATAAATTAAGTAAAAAGGAAAAAAGGTTTCACAAAACATTTTAAAAGTGTCAAAATTTTTTTTTGAGCCCAAATCATTATTTGGGGAAACAAGGGAAAATATTGGTTTTGAAGATGGCAGTTTTTATACTGAAGTAAAATAAATGAAGTAATAAGAGGCAACTTGGTAGGGATTTACCCTATATTAGGAAAGTTGATGGGAAACACTTTGTTAGGGACGGTTTGGAAATGTATATATAAAAAAATATATAGTATATATAAATCCATGCTGAATTTAAAAAAAAATTGCCCAAATTTTGGGGTAAAATTGCCCAAAGTCTTCTTTCCGAATAAGGGGTAGGGAAAAAAATTTTGTATGCAATAATTTTTTCAAAAATCATTCTGAAAACCCAACCCAAAAAAACATATTTTTATTGTTTATTATTAAATTATTGTAAACTTGTCTTAAAATAAATTTGTTAGACTAGATAAATTAAATTGTGCTTGTTTTAAAAAAGGTTAGGGAAATTTTTTTTAAAGGGTTTTTTTGGCACAAAAAAATTTTTTTTGGTTTTTCTTTAACAAAAAATAAAAAAAAAAATCTTTAAATGTATAAGAGAAATTTTTAGAAAAAACTTATTTTAAATGATTCTTGCTAATTGACCAATTTTTCCTATTTGGCAAGACATATACTATATATATAATATATATATATATATATATCCTCTTATATATTAATAATTTTTATATATACTACAATTATATATATATATATACACCACAACAACTATATATATATAATTATATAATTATTATATTATATATATAATATATATATGATATATATAGATTTACTATATATATATATATATAATATATACCCTATTATAACATAAATATATATATACCACACACACTATATATATCAGTTATATATATAACATACATGTATTAATTATTATATATTATATTTTTATATAAAATTTATTATATATATAATTTTTATATATATATTTCTATATATAATTTATATATTATTCTATACATACATGTTATATATATTTATATAATACTTTATATTATATATATATTTATAGTATTATATATACATACATACATGTATATATATATATATATATATATATATATATTATATATATATATATATATATATATATAATATATATATATATATATATATTATATATACATACATACATACATGTTGAGTGTACTGGTAAGTGTATGGTAGATGTTATAATTGAAAGAATTAAGAGTAAGACGGAGAATAGGATAGCATGAAACAAGGAGGCTTTAGGAAAGGTAGGGGGTGTGTGGACCAGGTGTTTACAGGTGAAACATATAAGTGAACAGTATTTAGATAAGGCTAAAGAGGTCTTTGTGGCATTTATGGATTTGGAAAAGGGCGTATGACAGGGTGGATAGGGGGGCAAATGTGGCAGATGTTGCAAGTGTATGGTGTAGGAGGTAGGTTTACTGAAAGCATGTGAAGAGTTTTTACGAGGATAGTGAGGCTCAAGTTAGAGTATGTAGGAAAGAGGGAAATTTTTTCCCAGTAAAAGTAGGCCTTAGACAAGGATGTGTGATGTCACCGTGGTTGTTTAATATATTTATAGATGGGGTTGTAAGAGAAGTAAATGCGAGGGTCTTGGCAAGAGGTGTGGAGTTAAAAGATAAAGAATCACACACAAAGTGGGAGTTGTCACAGCTGCTCTTTGCTGATGACACTGTGCTCTTGGGAGATTCTGAAGAGAAGTTGCAGAGATTGGTGGATGAATTTGGTCGGGGTTGCAAAAGAAGAAAATTAAAGGTGAATACAGGAAAGAGTAAGGTTATGAGGATAACAAAAAGATTAGGTGATGAAAGATTGAATATCAGATTGGAGGGAGAGAGTATGGAGGAGGTGAACGTATTCAGATATTTGGGAGTGGACTTTGTCAGCGGATGGGTCTATGAAAGATGAGGTGAATCATAGAATTGATGAGGGAAAAAGAGTGAGTGGTGCACTTAGGAGTCTGTGGAGACAAAGAACTTTGTCCTTGAGGCAAAGAGGGGAATGTATGAGAGTATAGTTTTACCAACGCTCTTATATGGGTGTGAAGCGTGGGTGATGAATGTTGCAGCGAGGAGAAGGCTGGAGGCAGTGGAGATGTCATGTCTGAGGGCAATGTGTGGTGTGAATATAATGCAGAGAATTCGTAGTTTGGAAGTTAGGAGGGAGGTGCGGGATTACCAAAACTGTTGTCCAGAGGGCTGAGGAAGGGTTGTTGAGGTGGTTCGGACATGTAGAGAGAATGGAGCGAAACAGAATGACTTCAAGAGTGTATCAGTCTGTAGTGGAAGGAAGGGGGGGTAGGGGTCGGCCTAGGAAAGGTTGGAGGGAGGGGTAAAGGAGGTTTTGTGTGCGAGAGGCTTGGACTTCCAGCAGGCATGCATAAGCGTGTTTGATAGATTGAATGGAGACAAATGGTTTTTAATACTTGACGTGCTGTTGGAGTGTGAGCAAAGTAACATTTATGAAGGGATTCAGGGAAACCGGCAGGCCGGACCCTTTAGTCCTGGAGATGGGAAGTACAGTGCCTGCACTCTGAAGGAGGGGTGTTAATGTTGCAGTTTAAAAACTGTAGTGTAAAGCACCCTTCTGGCAAGACAGTGATGGAGTGAATGATGGTGAAAGTTTTTCTTTTTCGGGCCACCCTGCCTTGGTGGGAGTCGGCCAGTGTGATAATAAAATATATATATATATATATAATATATATATATATAATATATATATATATATATATAATATATATATATATATATATATATATATATATTATATATATATATATATAATTAGTATTATATTTATATTATGTATGTCTGTATTAGAAGAGTTGATAGGAGTATATACTTGGAAAGTTAGTTGTGAGCTATCTGTTATACTACTGAACAATGGGAAACACTCGAACACAACCTTCCGTTGATGGCTGGAAACACTGTTCATTTATTCATGAATTTTCTAGTATAGCCAAAATAATAACCTGTGCACTTTTATTTCAATAGAAATTGTTTAAGCATCATCTTTGTAACTCTTTTTTGGCTCTGGTAACAATTTTTAAGCTTGTCATTGGTTTATCCATGCTCTAGCTGGTTCATGTGTATTTTTTAAGTGTAGACAACATATAATTACTGTATATTCCAGATTAATTTGTGAATGAATTTTTTATATAAATGGCTTTTTTTTTTTATAATTTCCTTATCCATATATCTAAAGTCTGTTTTAAAGGTGACAGTGTCACATGGGAATTTCTCAACAATTATGTACTTAATCTGACCTTCTAGCGATAATTTTATTAATGATAACTCCTAAGTCCATTCTTTAGTTTTTGTCTTTATTAACTCTGTGGTTATTTCCCACTAGGGTAGAGTGATCCAGAGAAGGACAAATAGTTATCATCACTCATTTTCTAGAAATGCATGAACATCACCTCATAAATGATGCCTTAAACTGCAACCTCCCCCATGTATCCTTCAGAGTGTAGGCACTGTATATCCCACCTCCAGGACTAAAGTCTTGATAAGCGGTTTTCTTGATCCCTTTATTGACATCCTACCACAAATGTATTCCTCATGTGGCTCATTCTCATTCCCACCATTTATATTACATCTCACTTATCCATATTGAATTCCATCCTCCATCTTTCACTCTAACTGATCACTCAATCCAGGTGATTTTTATTGCTTATTTTGCACAGGACTTTTGCTTCATGTGTGCCCACTAGTGTATGCTAGGTCAGGATGAGCAGAAGTTGATATGTCAAGCACTTTTGTAGTTGGTATTGCTACTGCCATTGTGTACTAGGTCAAAATAGGCAGTGTCAGTGCCTGTCATGGTTTCAGTAGTGGCTTGTTTTGCTGTGCTTTGCAACACACTTAAATTTCATATAATGAAATATGAAAATAAAATAAAAAAAGTTTAAAAAAATGTTCAGTACATTTATTCCACATTTTTCATTCACACAGCTACATGTTGTGTGTTATGCTCATATTTAGCTCTTCTCAATATGTATTTGCATCTTCTCTTATAAAGGGCAATTTTGCTTTATTAAGTGGTCTTTATACATAGATAAAACTATTAAAAAAAGCCCAAGATTTTATATTTTATCTGTTTGTACTTGACAGGGTTAATGTGGGGTGCGGACCAGCCGAGGAGCGAGTGCTCTTGACGGGTCTTCATGCTGTTGCTGACATTTACTGCGAATGCTGCAAGACAACTCTGGGCTGGAAATACGTAAGTTTGCTTTTTCCTTTATTTGCCTATACTTTTTCTTTTTTCAATGAACCGGCCGTATCCCACTGAGGCAGGGTGACCTAAAAAGAAAAATGAAAATTTCTCTTTTTAAATTTAGTACTAATGTATACAGGAAAAGGGGGTTACTAACCCCTTGCTTCCTTCATTTTAGTTGCCTCGTACAAAATGCATGGCTTAAGGGGGAAAAATTCTGTTAATCAAAAATAACAAAAAGTGATTAAAAATTATGAGAAATAACTAAAAATTAGGAAAAATAACCATAAAATTACAAAAAATAACTAAACATAGTCAAGAAAAATTGCTCCATTGGAACTATTTTTGATTCTACTTAAGAATACATGTATGCACTTGAAAACATAAAAAGACCCTGTTTTAGCGTGACACAAGGCTGTTTTATTTCGTCTGATTCTACCCTGTCTGAGGTGCCTTTTATGGTACATTTATCTTGCAAGAACTCTCATGACCTTCCATGAAAGCTGTATATACAGGATTTTTTCATGTTTATGGGGAGCAATTGATCCAACAAACAGTGTCATCATGACCATTTTCCATTTTGAGAGATAAAGTTTTTTCACCCCAAAAAAATCCCTGGACTGTAGTTCAGCATTTTTCACCATTTTCAGTCAGATTTTGAAAATTACTGAAAATCACACTAGGGGTACTATTTTCTTTGCCGATTCAGAATATACACTTAAAAATCTAAAATCAGATCATTTTAAAGTCGTAAGAGGCCTTACATTATTGATGCCAGGGTGCCTCGTGTAGATCTGCATTGTTGGTGCTAGAATCCCACACTTAGATCTACATTATTGATGCCAGGGTCTCTCATGTAGATGCATTATTGATGCCAGAGTCCCTTATGTAGATCTACATTATTGATGCCAGGGTCCCTCACATGGATCTGCATTATTCATGCCAGGGCCCCTCACGTAGATCTGTATATTGATGCCAGGGTCCCCCACGCAGATCTGTATTATTGATGCCAGGGTTCCTCACGTAGATCTGTGTTTTAAGCACAGCTCCCTCAGATAAGCTATGAACAGTAATTTTTGGCCTAGATATAAGAAAATGGGTCTGTACAATGAGAGTTCACAGTATAAAAACTATTCTGCCCCACAAGGTGCATGATGGGAAAAGCAGAACTTAGATTTTGACTTTGATTTCAACTAGTATTTTCAAGCATGTTTTTATGGTTTTATTGGCTGTTTCTTGGTAATACTTGATAAATAGAAGATCTTTCTTCTTTCAACACACCGGCCGTATCCCACCGAGGCGGGGTGGCCCAAAAGGAAAAACGAAGTTTCTCCTTTTACATTTAGTAATATATACAGGAGAAGAGGTTACTAGCCCCTTGCTCCCGGCATTTTAGTCGCCTCTTACAACACACATGGCTTACGGAGGAAGAATTCTGTTCCACTTCCCCATGGAGGTAAGAGGAAATAAACAAGAACAAGAACTAGAAAGAAAATAGAAGAAAACCCAGAGAGGTGTGTGTGTATATAGTATATGCTTGTACATGTATGTGTAGTGTGACCTAAGTGTAAGTAGAAGTAGCAAGACGTACCTGAAATCTTGCATATTTATGAGACAGACAAAAGACACCAGCAATCCTACCATTATGTAAAACAATTACAGGCTTTCGTTTTACACTCACTTGGCAGGACGGTAGTACCTCCCTGGGTGGTTGCTGTCTACCAACCTACTGCCTAGGATAAATAGAAGATATACTACTGAAATAGAGATGGCTTTGGCTGGTTTCAAAACCAGAAATAGCTTGAAATTGGACTCAACCTAGCTGAAATATTCGATTTTTGCAGATTTTCCTGAGGACAGGTGAGGTGAAGGGGGCTCCCCTACACCCCCTGGTCTGTTTTATGGTTTTTTAATAGGCTTGATTCAATCATTGAGATGCCATAAACCATGACCAATCATTTCTGTTTATATTTTATTCTTTATCCCTCCCTCTGTTATTTACATATCTTGTACTACCTCACTGTTATCAATCTTATTAATGTTAAACTTTTTAGTTACCTAACTTTTATTCTAATATGCAATAAGAAATATTAAAATGTACTGCTCCATAACCTTTGTCAATATAGAATACTCGGTAAGAATTAGGATTAGTCTGCCTGAAATGCCTAGACATGCTAGTGCCTTTCTTTGTAATTATTATTATTTTTTTTTGTTAACACATTGGCCGATTCCCACCAAGGCAGGGTGGCCCGAAAGAGAAAAACTTTCATCATCATTCACTCCATCACTGTCTTGCCAGAGGGGTGCTTTACACTACAGTTATGAAACTGCAACATTAACACCCCTCCAACAGAGTGCAGACACTGTACTTCCCATCTCCAGGACTCAAGTCCGGCCTGCCGGTTTCCCTGAATCCCTTCATAAATGTTACTTTGTTCACACTCCAACAGCACATCAAGTATTAAAAACCATTTGCCTCCATTCACTCCTATCAAATACGCTCACGCATGCTTGTTGGAAGTCCAAGCTCCTATCTCACAAAACCTCCTTTATTCCCTCCCTCCAACCTTTCCTACGCGGATCCTTGCCCCGCCTTCCCTCCACTACAGATTTATACACTCTTGAAGTCATTCTGTTTTGTTCCATTTTCTCTACATGTCCAAACCACCTCAACCCTCTGGATAATAGTTTTGGTAATCCCACACCTTCTCCTAACTTCCAAACTACGAATTCTCTGCATTATATTCACACCACACATTGCCCTCAGACATGACATCTTCACTGCCTCCAACCTTCTCCTCATTGCAGCATTCATCACCCATGCTTCACAACCATATATGAGTGTTGATATAACTATACTCACATACATTCCCCTCTTTGCTTCCATGGAGAAAGTTCTTTGTCTCCACAGACTCCTCATTGCACCACTCACCCTTTTCCCCTCATCAATTCTATGATTCACCTCATCGTTCATAGACCCATCTGCTAACAAGTCCACTCCTAAATATCTGAATACATTCACCTCCTCCATACTCTCTCCCTCCAATCTGATATCCAATCTTTTGTCACCTAATCTTTTTGTTATCCTCATCACCTTACTCTTTCCTATATTCACTTTTAATTTTCTTGTTTTACATACTGTACCAAATTCATCCACCAACCTCTGCAACTTCTCTTCAGAATCTCCCAAAAGCACAGTGTCATCATCAGCAAAGAGCAACTGTGACAACTCCCACTTTGTGTCTGATTCTTTATCTTTTAACTCCACACCTCTTGCCTACACCCGAGCATTCACTTCTCTTACAACCCCATCTATAAATATATTGAACAGCCATGGTGACATCACACATCCTTGTCTAAGGCCTACTTTTACTGGGAAATAATCTCCCTCTCTCCTACATACTCGAACCTGAGCCTCAGTATCCTCGTAAAAACTCTTCACTGTTTTCAGTAACCTGTCTCCTATACCATACACCTGCAACATCTGCCACATTGCCCCCCTATCCACCCTGTCATATGCCTTTTTCAAATCCATAAATGCCACAAAAACCTCTTTAGCCTTATCTAAATACTGTTCACCTATGTTTCACTGTAAACTCTTGGTCTACACACCCCCTACCTTCCCTAAAGCCTCCTTGTTCATCTACTATCATACTCTGTCTTACTCTTAATTCTTTCAATAATAACTCTACCATACACTTTACTAGGTATACTCAACAGACTTATCCCCTATAATTTTTGCACTCTCTTTTATCCCCTTTGCCTTTATACAAAGGAACTATGCATGCTCTCTGCCAATCCCTAGGTACTTTACCTTCTTCCATACATTTATTAAATAATAGTACCAACCACTCCAAAACTATATCCCCACCTGCTTTCAACATTTCTGTCTTTATCCCATCAATCCCAGCTGCCTTACCCCCTTTCATTCTTCCCACTGCCTCACGAACTTCCCCCACACTCACAACTCGCTCCTCCTCACTCCTACAAGATGTTATTCCTTCTTGCCCTATACACAAAATCACAGCTTCCCTATCTTCATCAACATTTAACAGCTCCTCAAAATATTCCCTCCATCTTCCCGATACCTCTAACTCTCCATTTAATAACTCTCCTATTTTTAACTGTCAGAAACATTTGTTCCCTAGGCTTCCTCAACTTATTAATCTCACTCCAAAACTTTTTCTTATTTTCAACAAAATTTGTTGATAACATCTCACCCACTCTCTCATTTGCTCTCTTTTTACAATGCTTCACCACTCTCTTAGCCCCTCTTTTTCTCTCCATATACTCTTCCCTCCTTGCATCACTTCTACTTTGTAAAAATCTCTCATATGCTAACTTTTTCTTCCTTGCTACTCTCTTTACATCATCATTCCACCAATCTCACTTCTTCCCTCCCGCACCCACTTTCCTGTAACCACAAACTTCTTGTAATCAATATCTTATAATATGTAAACCACTCATTGTAAGCTTTGCAGGGAAATAAAAATTTTCAATTTTCCATACTTACCTCCTATCTTTTCTCTACAAAAAGATGTGAATTATTCATATAATCCTTTGTGCCTTGATTAAAACTTTATCAAGTGTCACAATAAAAGTTTTGTTTTTATAACTTTTACTCCAGGCTCTTGGCATCTCTTGTTTATGTCACATATGTATTGATAAACTTGTCTTGTTAAAGTATTTATCAGCATGTGCTCTTAGTATTGCTCAAGTTAACTCAAATCAATTTTTTTTGTTTTTTTTTTTTTTTTTCAGGAACATGCCTTTGAATCCAGTCAGAAGTACAAGGAGGGCAAGTATATTATTGAGCTGGCACATATGATCAAAGATAATGGGTGGGACTGAGAGTGGGCCCCTGGTGGCCGCAGGAGCCTTGGCGTGCAGCTGTGACCCTGCCAATGACTGCCAGACCTTTACTCATCATCACACCAAGAATGTCTCGTCTAATATAAGGATGACTTCATTTACCTAGGATGGAAGTGGGAAGTGTAGTCTGGACCCATTGATGATATCTGCTGCTTCCTCGTTAGTGTTAGGTTGACCAGCTGTGCACGACTTATTCTTGAGCAGTGATCTCAGCCGGTGTGCGATGCCAGGGTGTGCTGCGCAAACAAATATTACACGAGAAAATTCATTATAGCTTCAAATTATAGAAAACGACTACACTATAGTGATTATGGTGATACTCTATATGGATTGACTTGCCTGAATTAGATCAGATTCATTTGTGTAAATAATGAAGACTACTGGCAAAAATGCTGAGTGAGTGTTATGAGTGGAAGTGGAATGTAAGCAGCACATCCTGAGAGCAACTGGCCATCATCACCATCACAATCATCATATTTTCACATCATTTTTGACTGTCCCAACCCGCCAGTCATCAGTCAGTCAGCCAGCTAGCTCTCGTCCAGTCTCATGGCCTGTCTGTGATGGGCTTTGCCCGTAAGCAAATTTCAATTTGTTGTGTAGTAAGTGTAAAACTAATCATCCCACCCAGCCACTTGCAAGCCAGTTAGACACATTTTTGTATTATAAACTCAATGTGAGAATTTGTTTTATTTAATTATCTGCTGTCTACCATCATTTGTTAAGGGACCATAACATAGTGTGATTTGACCTGCCATGGCAGGATTCTAACAGTACGGAGGGAATAAAGCATTGCCCAAACCTCAGTCAAAACAGAGACTTCAGTAGCTGTGTTTACCATGTGTGAGTTTTAGATACATAATGGTATTAAACACCTGTACCTTTTTATCATTATACCAAAAGGACAGTTTGTTATTAAACAACATTATGCTAGAAAAAGCTGTATTACAATGGCACTTGATGCTTGACCCATATTTTGGAGCACACAACATAATCGTATTTCTCATTTGTCTCGTCCATATTGCATTTGCGCAGGTGATGTGCAGGAAGTGATGCTGGTGTTCCCGCTGTGATCTAGTGCATCTTGGAAGCCTGGACAGTGCAGGCAACCTGTGATGATGTGTCTTAATGGTACACTGTGTGATTGGACAATATTTTAACTCATTTTCACTTGTTCTGTACTGTGTATATCCTAAAATTTGATGTTCCCAACAAATGGATTAGGTAGGTGATTGTGCTGCTATCATTTCCAGTCATCATGCTAGTCTTGTAGAAATGGCATTTGATTATCTTTTAATTTTTTTCAGTTAACTTTAGTTGAGATTGAGTTGAGATAAAATTCACATCTTCTCTTGCAATTGTACATAATGGATTGATTAAAACCGCAACATGCCACAGATATCAACCAGTAGAGTGTTTGGTGTAAATTTACTGATGTAAAGTAAGTGTTGAAGAGACTTGCTGTGCAGTATTAATTAAGTTTTTCTTAAGGTAAATTTAAATTTACCTCATGAATTATAAGAACTTTAAAATGTATACTGTATATATGAAATATATAATGTATACAATACCTATAGAAGTTGTAAACTAGACTCAGAAAATAGTATTACAGTATTTTAGGTTAATGTTCCTGTAAAGAACTCTTAAATTTCTTAATTACTTAGAAAATGTAGAAAAAATCATGAGATTGTAGTTTGTGATAAATATTGGCTGATACAGTAAGGACATTACATTTGCAAGATATTCAGTGTACAGTCATACCATACTTCAGTTGGCTGCTGTTACTGAATTTTAAATTAAGCATGTTTTTCCATGCTTACAACATGTATTATTTATATATTTTTGCATTTCTTATGTTTTGGACACAAAATATCCTCATTGCCTTGTAGGTTCTTTCTCTAGATTGAAGAGCTGCATGACTCAAGTATTCAGGAAAGCACTTAGCTTTCTACATGAATGTACATTTGCCCAATTTATAGTGATGTACATGTGCTACCCAGCTATCAGTATATAATAAAAAAGGCAGCCATTATTAATTAACAGTTAAGCTCATTTCGACACCCAACAAACACAGTACCTAAGAACAAACACCCCTGACAAGCTGATGCAAGCATCTTAATAATATGGTCCTGATTATTACAACTTCCATTAATTATTTTATTTAGATAATGTAAAACATTTGCAATAGGCATCAGTACTTTTTTAACTGTAATTATCCATATTATGCAGGAACACTCCCTTCATCAGCATTGAAAATGAACACGCGATCTCTGATCAAGTGCTCTCTCACGGTTGCTGGTCAAAATGTTAATTTACTCTCAACTCAATCTCAAACTAAAGTCAACTGCAGAAAATACAAGCTTTATATAAGATGAAACACAAGAGCATTATATGATACTTAATATCAGTGTGTTTTGGCATTTGTATTATTTACCTATCAGTGAAATGCTAGCAGTTTTTCAATCAAAAATTCATTGTTTAGAACTGAGAGAAAATGAACCATCTTAACATCCTGATAGTTAAGCTGTTGTGAAGTAATACACTTTAATATAATGATTTATCATAATAGCTGTAGGTGATGTAAGATTAATACTTGTCTGGGCTCACTAGCCAGAAGATAATTATATGTGCATCTCATAAAAGAATCAGATAGTGTCAATAGTCAGGGGTCCAAGGTAAGATATCAACTGTATGTAGTATGGTAGGTAACATCATCTTGCTTTGGACATGTTACCTTCTGCAAGTGAAAAGAAATTTCTCATGGAGCAACTTTCAAATTTATTAGGTCTGCTTGGCTGCTTTTTGGCTTGGTGGTGGAACACTGAAATAGCTTTAATCATGTGTAGTTAAGATTCAACAGAGTACCTATTGGCTAGCCTTATCACATTCATTAATTGATATTAATCAGTTCATATAGCATGTCGATGTGTATTTGCCATAAAGTTTTGGCATAGAACTTCACACTAGTTGTGGGATTAAAATGATAGTCCCTGCTTTTCTTTTTAAGATGTAGGTCATGAAAAGCACTGTTCATTACAGAACAGTTGGTCTGGATTGTGCAATTAATTCAAAGGATACTGGGATACTGGTTACTTCATGTGGGAATTTATTACTTATGACTTAGGTTTATCTCTATGCTCAGGTAGATAGAGAAGCACCCTAACATTTTTTTTTTCTATTTTTTCACATCCAAAAAATATAGCCCCAATATACGACTTGAGAGAGGATATCCTTTTTCTTACCAAAGTAATATACCTTCAGTTTCCTTCATGTTGCTTGTGTGTATAACTGGCATCTGTGCCAACTTTAGCTGTCTATTACTGTTGTGTCTTGTCTCTGCTGCTCATGGTATAAAGCTGGTTTTCTTTTACATTGCTACAAGTAGCCTTTATACAAGTTTATCTTTTGTGTTGTAATTCATTAGTGTCTCAGCAGATTGCATAATACTTTGTGCTTAATTTAGACATGTCTCATTTATATTTGTGCTTATATCCCCTAGGTTAGAGATTTCTATGTATTTTGTCATTTTTCATAATTTAAATTCTTTCGACCTCAGTAATGCTTATTGTCTCACTTTAATTGTATGTTCAGTCCATATAAATTTATTTATTCACTTATAAATTTTGTAAAGGTATTATACAAAGTAGCAGTTTATAAAATTTTAACCCAAAAATTGTGGTCATTAAGTTCTCTTGTACCATCTTGCTCCCCTGGTTATGTTGCCGCTTCTCCAACCAGCACCAGTTCTTTCTGTATGTACTCTGTACATACATACTACAGCATATTCAGACTTAGTACTTGTATATTTCAGTGTGCACTTCCCTAAGTGTATACACATTTTAATCCGTACTGACCTCAGTAAATACTAACTTTTAGCATGTACTGACCTCAGCACAAAATCCATTTCATTATGTACTGAACTTAGTACATATAAACCTTGTATGTACTGATCTCAGTACATGTGCAGTTCCACATTTTAGTATATGTATGCAAATGGTCATAATTGTGTGAAGAGATATTGTATTTACTAAAGAGAGATCCCCACAAGGTGGTCCTATATTTTTACATGGCATTCTAGTCTTTCATTCTAACCAGTAGTTGAGAAGTGTGCATGTCTCTGCCTTCTGTTATATTACACTATGTACTAGCTCTTTGTATCATGGTTCATTCATGGGATATATATATAAAGTGGATGGCGAGAGGCAAAAGTAAAATAAATAAATATATACATACATATACATGTATATATACGTACATACACAATTATATATATATTACACACACAGACAGACAGACATTCGTACCTATACTGTGATAATGTTGAGGTTGGCGTGGAGAGTTAATAAGGATACATACTATAATTATTGTTTCGGCTAATACCATGTGCAGGTTGAGGGCTTGAGTAGTATGAAAAACACCATTATGTATTGAATACTAAATGTAAAAATATCAATATTAGCTGTATTGGAAATTATCAGCACAGTTAAGCAGTTCTAGGCCATCAGGTTTGTTTTGCCTTTCGTCATAATAATGACCACTGATTGTGCAGGACACTTTGGCTGTTGTAGTGCTTTTGTGATTGATATTATCATAGAAGAGCTTGGAAACATTCACATAGGTTAGTTTCCTTTCAATGTTGTATTTCATAGCAACCATCATGACACTGGTAACTGCTTTTATTTTAGATTATCCATAGACAGATTACTTCCAATGGCAAGAGCATTTGTAGCATATACTGCTTACATAGATATGGGACTAATATTTCGGCAATTTTTTTTTACGCTTGCTTTCAGTCCCTTTAGGTGTAAAGTATAGAGTTTTCTCTCAGTATCCATTCACTGGTTGCTATGCTCATATTGTTGAGAAGTGGAACACAAGTGTTTAGGACCACAGTACATTTATATTCTGTCCAAAGTGAGAGGGGTCCATATACGGTGTTTGTCACTTTTATACTTAGCCAGGTTATCTTCAGTGACACAGGTAGGATTCATTTACTCATTATGCATAACATGCTCATGTAATATATTTTAAGAAGTGTATCTTGCAAACTACAATACTTTTTCTTCTTTTAAACATTGTAGTAGAAGATGCATTGGTCTTCTGGCATGAAGTGTCTCAAATCTTCATTACTTCCTTATTCTGCTGGTACAGACTCATCCCCTCCCACTGGTCTAATGTGTACTCTTTCTTGGAGCAGAGATGGTCATGTATTGTTCAAAAAACATTTATATTTAGTTCCATTCGGTGGAAATTTAAATCAAAACCTCCAATGTTGCCTTGATGGAAGGCCCCATAGGACCTTCAGCACAGTTTTGCTGTGGAATGAGCACTGGGGATGTATCGACCCACATACAGGGTGTGACCTCGGCATCCACAAGCTTTGTTCCTGCTTCTTGTCTTGGTGACTTATAACAATGAGTTTTGTAATGGCATAGAACAGAATTATTGCCCACCTTTGCTCATAGTTCATAAGGTATTAGTGTCAATGATGGTGTATTCGGTGATTTGAAGTACTGTATCAATGTAGTTATTTCATATGTATATAGATCATTTTTTACAACCAAGGATGACATACTTTGTTCGGAAACATTTTTATTTCCAATATGTGGAGGATTCATATGGGATTATTTCAGTAAGTACTAAAATATGATAGCTGTAAGATTCAGCATTTGTACATGGGAGCAAAAGGTCTGAATCTTATTGTAATTCAGAAAGTTGGTATTTGCTGGTCCTCACAAATTGTATCTTGTAGCATTGTAGAGCTTGCTGTTTTCAGTAAATCTGGATGATTAAGTACTGTACAGTACTAGAATTTATAGATATTGTTGAGAGAGAGTATATTTTGTAAACAGAATATATTAACTGAGTGAAATGTATGCTTGAAATTAAGACTAAAAAAAAAAAATAATCCAGATTTGCTCTGCTGTATATAGTATTTATTCACAGGAAGCTTACACTAGTTGCTGCCACAAATGCAGAGTAATATGTTTATCTTGAATTTTATTTAACTCAAATTATTATTTTTTTACAAGAGCTATTGAAAATGCTACTAGTATTGAAGGAGGGATTGTGTTGAACATGCAGTGTGAATACATTACATGACTAGAACACTAATATTTGTTGTATACTTTAAATGAGTATGTATATATACACAGTATGTGTATGTTTATATACAATATTTTCTGTTCTAGATTAAATTAATGTCCCTTATTATTTTGCAGTGAACTGTATGCTTAATGACTGCAGTCAGTAAGCTTTAAAAGTTAACAAACCAAAAAATCTGTATTGTCAATAAGATTACAGTATTACATAAAACATTTATTTAGAATGATGCCATGAGTGTGTTATGACCTGCACATTTAGTACAGTTCTGTACAAGGTAGATTCATTTCAGTAGACATGCTCAGAGGAACACACCACTTACTATGGCAGGCAAAAATCAGTTGAAATATACTGACATGACATTTTTTCTTCACAAACTGGATCAATGGAAATTGTTGAAAGAGGAGGTAGTAGGGGTTATAACTACAAAATTCACTATTTGCTAATGTTATTTAGACAAAACAATGAAGATGTAGCTACAAATAGGAAATTATAACGAAATACAGTCAAAGATGGAACAACAAAATTAATTTTTTTATTTAAATCCACACATTAATGTAATGTTTGAATGTTTCACACCTGAACTATTCAATACATTAGTTATTTTTGTTTCAAAACATTTCTTGAAGTATAAAGTTCATACCATATTTTTTTCTCCAGTAAGGTAAGGTTATTGATAAATATTCTAATCTGCATAACTAGCAGCAACATTTTTGGTACGTGAGTGTCTCACAAAAGCTGCTAAATGTGACTTTACACAATAAACATTTACCAATATATTTTGTTTATCTTAATTTCCCTATTTTCATGTATTAATAAACTCCCTTTCAACAAAACAATACCCAGTACAGTGCATGCACTCCACTCTAAAGGGAGGGAGGGATGCATTAGTTTGGCGAGTCGAGACTTTTGGTTTATATCCAGTTTTTCTATGACAAACTGCTGAAGAATTTTGTCTTTGGCATGTCAATGTACATACACCCTTGCTTTATTCTCTTGCCAAGTAAAAGGGACTAATGAAAGCATTTACTCAAGATATGTTTATTTTTTTGTTTTTGTCAAAATTGTGCCATTATACTGGAGCAGCAGTAAACAAAAACTGCAAAAGTGCAAATCTTTAAACAAAAAATAAAGTAAATTTGTACAAAAAAAAAAAAATGGTAGTATAGAATCAGGATGGTATTTAATTAACCATCTCTAACTCGAGCACTATACTCCAGTCATTATCTAATACCCTAGGAGTCAGGTTGGCATTGCAACTCCAACTCCTCTGTGATATTTTATTAATGTGAATCTTCATAATACTTCAAAAGTACAATGATTACAATTTAAAAAAAATAAAAATAAAATTTCAGACACCTTAAATCATGTCACTGACAAAAGCACAAACTGTCAAGTTATATTAACATTTCTTTTTTATTATAATAATAATAATATATTAACATTGCCACAGTACTGAATTTTTGTTTAAAGTATATACAATTGTCAAATTAGCAGTGCAGTATTACAGTTGCAAAAGTACAGCAAAGCCACGTGAGCAATAGCCATTACTGAAATGTTTGTGCTAGCAACTCCTCTCACTTTGACAACACTTGGCTCAGTGTCTTACAGCACACGGAAGTGAAAGGCAATCAAGTTTGATCTGAGGAAGAGGGTAGCTAAATCCACATGAAGAGCACTTCATTAGCACTCCCCTTTTTCTTCCCCAAGAGGACAACTATACCAGATATCTGCAATTAGTCTTGGAACTGAATAGTGACAGTAGTAACTACATCATGTAGTCATTATTTTTTTTTAAACATGCTGGCTGTCTCCCACCGAAGCAGTGTGACCCGAAAAAGAAACACTCGCTATCATTCACACTATCACTGTTCTTGCCAAGTCATGTCAATGTAGATAAAAGCAGAATATTGCCTTGACATGTTGGAAGCACTCCCTGTATTAAGTGATAATTAGTGATTAACTGCACTTTCTGTGGTAGTTTGTCAATTTTTTTGCAAAAAAGATAAATTACTTGTACAGTAAGTACCTTCTCTTCTTACCATGACCAATACTGGCAACAAAAAAATATACTTGAGAAATCTGTGCTTGCATATAGCTCTTAAGTTGCATTTCCCCTATATGAAAATTTGCATAATATGCTAGTTGAGTATCCCTTATCCTAAATTCAAAACTTTTATCAAGTGCTGATATGGCACCACAAATGGAATATTCCAGTAAGCTCTGTGGAGGTTCCTAGGCAATGCAGAGGTCTGTATGTATCCGGACAAGTGCGACACCTGATTCACATACCCTGGGTTGGCTCTGTTGGCGCCAGCTTATCATCAACACTCGTCACCTCTAGACCTGCATGTATTTCTCTGATTACAGTGAGTTTTGCGCTTATTCTCTGCTCTGTGGTGAGAATATATTTTTGAAAATTGTAAAAAGTCTTGAAGATACCTCTATGGGTATCAGCAATAAGAAAAAATGCAGTGTACACTAATCTTTTAATCAAAACACTGCATTGTAGGTGGAGACAAAGCCTGCTGCTGTTTGTTGTATTTGAACAGATAATGCAGGTATCCTGTTGATGCTTTTATTAAAAATATTGTATAAAACTACCTTCAGGCTGTATATAAAGCTGTACAGGAAACAAATGGATTTTGTTTAAACTTGGGTCCCATTTTCCAAGCTATTCCACATTCCAAAATCTGAAAAATTTTGAAATCTGAGACACTTCTGAGCACAAGCATCTCTGATAAGGGATACTTGACCAGTACATGAAATATGTTTACAAAATAGAAAAAAAAATGGGTTTTAAAAATTCGAACAAATTTTAAAAGAAAAACTGAAAATGCATGAACAACCACCAAGAATGATACCACAGGTATTGTAAATGCCAGGCAAATACTGGTGAAGACCATATCAAGGGATGCAACTTTAAGAAGGTACATTAGGATGAAAATCTCAAATAACCACCTCTTACTATTTTTTTTTTTTTTTTAAGATTTTAAAGTAATATGGCTGATAAGCTTAGCCTGGATTTCCCCTAGATGACTCTGTTGTTCACACGCACAAAAATCATCTCTATAGTTGAAGACGTTGGATCATGGTAGCTAATGAATATAACAAGTAATTTCCAGCTATGTCAGACTAATGTTCATTAGTCAGGCATTATTCCACCATAGCAACTTGATGCTGTAGTTCTAAAATGATATACTAGTGGAGCACCGTGCCAGGCTAGCCTTGCCCATCTAACAAATGAGATCTGATGTCAAGTTGAGTTCACATGGTTTTCCAGCCATTCCCACACAAAATTATTCTGAACACTTTTTTTCTGCAATACAAATCTTATTTAAATAAATAATTCACAATGGTTTCTACTGTAATACAAAATTATACCTAATGTATCCACTAATTAATATAAACTCAAAAACCAAAAGCAGATACTTACATTATGGTACTCTTCCATGGCATTTTCTCTTCTAAAATAAGCAGTAATTTTTTTTTAGACACTAGCATATTAATATAGTCAGCTCTTATAAACTTCCTCTACTTAATGCATTTTTTTTCTAGAAAAAAAATTGAAAAAGCGCATCAAAAACTGAATACCACACAGGATGAAGGATTTCCTCATGCTATTCAAATTTGGATGCAATTTTTCAGGTGCACTGATGACAAACTGCATTAGAGTTTCATAAGAGCTGACTGTATATCAAATTACACCATCTATAATACAGTACGATATGAAGCTCATGGTCAAGCTATAGCTATTTAGTTATCAAGCAAAGGCCAGACAGGTATGGCATGGGTTCAAATTCTGTCACTACGAGGTCAATTTTAACGGGATGAACTTTTAGTTATTAAGGTCTTTCGATATAAGTATCTACAACTAAGTTACTGTGCAAAAGCTAACAAGCTGATGAAATACTGTATTCCTATATATATTCCAAAGCCTGAGTGTCTCCAAGGAATGAAGTAGCATACGATGGATCAAACAATCAACTATATTAAGGATGTCATGGTTAAGCGATTCTGAGAAGCACCCTTGTAGTTTTTTGTTATTGATGGGGTTTCAAGGGCCACCTGACAGCTTCTACCATACCTTTGATGAGATCTTAAGAGTTTTCCTACTTCCAGAGCCCAGCCTTGGCCTTGGTGCTCAGAAGGTAACACAGTATTGCCAAATCTGGACCAGTTTAAATGATTTCTCAACCCTCACAGCCCAGTCTGAGCCCAGGCTTCCTTGCTGACTGCATGATCAACCAGGGTGTTACTATGTATAACAGCCCCAACTATTTGTGTGCCCAGCAAGCAAAAAAGGACGAGATCAAATTAATTATTTAAAGACCAGGCAGCTACACTGTGCATCCGAATCACAGGCCAAATCAAATTAAATCATTTTGCAAGATGAACCTGCCATAAACTGAGAATTTGAGTATACTAGGAAGTACAGTACCTGCACTCCGAAGGATGGAGAGATTCTCAAAGATCAATGGAAGTCTCAATTCTGTATCGATGCCAAACTTAGCTTCCCATCCCCTTCATTAGTCAGTTAAATTAAGGTTGACCATTTTACATGCTGTTCAAATAAAGTACAGTGAAATAAGTGTTACAACTACCAAAGATGGTCAATTAAGCTAAAGAACGAGTAACAAAAATTCACCTTTTTACTTACAAAGCAAGTCTCCTATGACCTACACAAATATGAATTGGGAAAGTGTCAAGTGTGCTTTCAATATTAGACTGCTATGTAGATAGACTTCAAACAAAAGAAGATAAAAATAATATAGTCAAAAACATCACCTCTGTTTTGTGAAAAGTGTGAATGCTTGGGCAAGGTAGGTAGGTAGGTAGGGTTGGGTGTCTGCGTGTGTGTACTCACCTAATTGTACTCACCTAATTGTGGTTTGCCAGACTATTCCACTTCCTAACAATTCTGTGGCTGAAGAAATACTTCCTAACATCCCTCTGACTCATCTGAGTCTTCAGCTTCCAATTGTGACCCCTTGTTTCTGTGTCCCATCTCTGGAACATCCTCTGTCTGTCCACCTTGTCTTTCCACACAGTATTCTGTATGTCATTATCATGTCTCCCCTGGCCCTCCTGTCCTCCAGTGTCATCAGACTGATTTCCCTTAACCTTTCTTCATAGGACATTCCCCTTAGCTCTGAAACCAGCCTTGTTGCAAGCCTTTGCACTTTCTCTAATTTCTTGACGTGTTTGACCAGGTGTGGGTTTCAAATTGGTGCTGCGTACTCCAGAATGGGCCTGACGTACACAGTGTATAAAGTGTTTAACAATTCCTTACTCAGGTACCGGAACTCTATTCTCAGGTTTGTCTGGCACCCATATGCCGCAGCAGTTATCTGGTTAATGTGTGCTTCTGGCAACGTACTTGGTATTATACTCACTCCTAGATCTTTCTCTTTGAGTGAGGTTTGTAGTCTTTGGCCTACTAGCCTATACACTGTATGCGGTATTCTTTGCCCTTCTCCAATCTTCACGACTTTGCATTTGGCTGGATTAAATTCTAGGTGTGTGTGTAGGTGTGTGTGTGTGTGTAGGTGTGTGTGTGTGTGTGTGTGTGTGTAGGTGTGTGTGTAGGTGTGTGGTGGTGTGTGTGTGTGTAGGTGTGTGTGTGTAGGTGTGTGTGTGTAGGTGTGTGTGTGTAGGTGTGTGTGTGTAGGGTGTGTGTGTGTAGGTGTGTGTGTGTAGGTGTGTGTGTGTAGGTGTGTGTGTGTAGGTGTGTGTGTGTAGGTGTGTGTGTGTAGGTGTGTGTGTGTAGGTGTGTG